TAACATTAAACCGTATGAGAAAAAGAAAACGACAAAAAAAATCCGATTGGTGTAAAATTCGATCGAGAAAAAGAACCAATAAGAAGTTGTCATTTTTATTTTTCAAAAGAATTGGTTTACCTGTAGTTTACTCATGATGTAGAATAATAAAGGGTTTGTTGTCAGATTTTCACGAGAAAATTTTGAAAGAATATACATCAATTAAGTTCTAGCTTTTAAGAATGAATCAGACTTTTTTTTTGCAAGTTTAGAGATTCAGTTTGATAATACTCATGTTTGTTTAAGAAAATAATGGCCGGGAAAATACACACAAAAATAATAACAATAATTTCCCTTCTGTAAGAGTGTTTTGTCGAACCTTATATCCGATTCGGAACGTCAAAAATTATTATGTTTTTATTGATATTCAAACAGATTCTATCAGCTTTATTTACCATCCGATAAATGTTTGAAATCATGACTCTCTTTTAAGAAAAAGGATGAAAAATTCAAATGATTTAAGATCCTGATAGATTTGCTTGTAACTAGTGCGTTTTAGATTAGAATACAATAAGCTTTGGCATCATTGGTGAACGAATTTTTGATTTTTTTCATCTTGAAAGATATTCTGTCAAATTGAAATGTCACTAATTATAAGGTGTAAAATCATGTTCGACACGTTTACACTTTGGCTCGTGCCTCAATTGAATTGAATAGAAAACTTTAGATTGGACCTTCTTCTTCTATCAGTATATTTGAAATAATCTCAATTTTATTAATCAATTTAATCGAATGTGATTTTCATTTATTAAGGATTAAAAAAAAAATACTCATTCTCCTTTATTATAGAATTAAATGAATGCGATTTTCATAGTAAAATACCCAGACAGGATATATGCTTTTCCGAATGCGATAATAAAAAAGGTTCATATCAAATATCAGTAGTGGATTTAGGAAAGGTTGCAAAAGCAATGGTTGTCATCACCTGACGAACTTTTTCTTTTCAGTTTTCCTCGATAGAAACGAAATCACGAGTTTGTAATAACAAAAATGAATTTTAAAAAATATGGATTTATTTTTATAATCACCGTCATCTTCTCACTGGTGTTCTGAATCTATCATTGTCAAATATATTTTTTCAAAATTTTATTCTACAACAATAATTCTATGACAGAAATGATTCGTAAAATGGCAAAAGTACATCCGAAAATAATCTTTAAGGTCTCTTATCTACTTACATATTGTACACTCGATTGATTTGAGAAGATTATAATTTGGATAGTCAAGAACAAAAAAAAAGAAAACGAAACTCTTGACTTGTCGTCGTAGTACGCACTTCACATGCAAGTTACATCAATCGTTTTTGCATGTATGTGCATAAGACATGTGTAAAATGTGTTCCGAGTATTCGCTTTCGTTTTTCTTTTACATTAATTCAACTACTATATTATAATAATAGCCAGTTAAAGCGAAAAGAAAGAAACGACATGAAAAATTTTCCTTTTTTTCTTCTTCTTTTTTTATTCTGTGATTAGAAAAAAAGAATTTTCGTTCATGATAGATCAACAAGGACGAAACTTGTCTGAAAACGTTCTTCTGTCATTATTATCAACACTTATTCACTTTCTCTCTATTTCTCATTTACTTCAGGCAAATTGTCCGATGAATGTAGATGGTGAGCACTTATGTTGTGAACAAGTACATGAAATACTTAACTGGAGGCCTTTTTTTTTTTCTCTCTCTCTCTCTTCACTACAACAACGAACGCCTGTCAGAATGCTTATGTTACTGTTGTTGTTGTTATTGTTGATGCACACCATTTTAGTTACTTGCCAATAGTGAAGTATGTTACTCTTTCAAATAGATGTAAAAACGTTTTTCGATGTTTTTTTTTATTAAATTAAAATGTCCAACGTTTGAATGTCTATGTGATGATCTAAAACGGTTAAAATTACAAAAAAAAAAAAAAATCAATACTTCGCTTTTCTTCTTCGTCTTTTCTCAAGATACTTGAAAATAGAGTTAAAGAAGAGATCAGTGAAAGAATTAATTTTTTTTCTCTTCTTACTGATCCCTAAAGGCTTCCGTATATGATGAATAATGATATGACAAAAAGAAGTTGTTCGTTGTTGTTTTCTTTTCATTTGATGACAATTGTCACCTTTTGTAGTTTCAATTCGACTTGAACAAAAGAAGATATTTTTTCAATCATATGTTGATCTTCTTTTAATTTGCTTTTAATAATTAAGATTTTAATATGAGTATCATGAGAGTTTTTTATAAGTGTAGATTTTGACAGATGTTAAAAATATATATATATATGTATGTCAACAATAAGTATCAATAAAAGTATTGGCAAACACTACTTCATTGAAGATGAATTATTCTGCTGTTTTTGAAGAGATTATGAATATATTGGAATTACAAATATGCAAGATTGTTTTGAGGTTAGAGATGAAAATAAGTTGATGAAACAAAATAAAGAAAAAAAAAATTAGATGATTCATACGGAAACCTATTCAAATAATATATTTAATAATTCATAAAAGAATTTATTGATTTTTTCTAATGTGCACTATATTTCATACAAAATTGACATGAGCTGTTGTTAGTTTTATCTTTTTCATTGAAGTTTAATTTTCTGAACAATTGATTTCTATCTTGATTATTAAAACAAGAATAATTATCAATTTTTGAATAAAATATTTATCATTACTTTATAAATCATAGATCATTATTATTGTTTATAAGAAAAAAGTTTTGATTTAGTTGACTTTATAATTAAATAGAGATAAAATTTAATTGTTTTACAACATATTTATTGAGCCATTTTATTCTTTGATGCATTGCAAAAAAAGAATTAAATATTTTATTACAATTTATTACTTAAAATTTTAGTCTATTTAATATATAAAATATAATTGCATAAATAATAACTTAAAGAAACGTGACGATACACTTAATATTCAACATTGAATTTGCATAATTTATAAAAAGCAAAAAAAAGAAAAAAAAACATGAATTGATTTCGATCATTTTTTATGAGTTCTTACTTTGTTGATGTAATCAACAGCATAAGAAATTCTTCATAGTATTTAGTTTGATTTTTAAGAACAATTGAATCGACTAAATTTTAATATCAATTCTTCAAAATGTTGTAAAATATAGCATGGCCGATGACATCTAGTGATAATTACGTTTTTTTTTTTGTTACATATATGCTAATAAACAAATTTGATAAACACAGTGAATACCTACATATTCGTCCGCAAAATACAGTAAATAGTAAAAATGACATTAACGATTGATGTATATGGTTTTTGATTTTTGTCTATCAACACAAAAAAAGAATAAGATGTTAAAAGTCATCATTGACATTGAAATGAAAAAGAACACTACAAAGTTTGAAAAAATCATGCCTAGGAATAATGTTCATAAAGAAACAAAATTTCATATGTCTTCTTTTTTTTTTTTTTTAACTTTTAAAAGAAATGTTCATAATAAAGGAGAAATCTTGGGCAAGTAATGATTTACATATAATAGTGTGCTATAATTAAATTATTTTGTTTTATTCTGAAACTTATTAATCATATCAGAAATTATTAGTTTTTCTAATTTTCTAATTTAATAAACGTAATTTAGTATAAAAGGAAATTGAATTTTATCATAAACTATTATGAATACAGAATCTAATAAGGGTTTTCTTATGATCCTTTTTTTTTAGAAATAAACTTAACTCATTGACCATGAGAGTATCATAAATGATACCTGTTGTTTGCGGTGATATCTGTGTAGGTAACTATATAGTTGATCACTTCTCTTGTTTTGACTATTGTCGTTATCATTTTTTATGTGATAAGATGTAACGGCAATAGACAAACACAAGAGAGACAAGCAACCGTCTAATTATTTACAGAGATGTCACCACTAAAAACCAGGTATCATATATAATATTTCTGTAGCCAAAGGATCAAATACGATAAAACTCATTTATTTGTCATACAGAAATTCTTTTCCTAGTATCAATCCAACAACTATTAGTTTTTCAAACAGTCAGAGATGTCCCGAGCGAGAGCAGAGTGCCTCCCGATTTTGAAAACTTTTCGTTTTATTTCCGCGGAGTTCCAATGTTTTTCTTGGTTTTTTTTTTTTTTTTTGTTAGAATAAAATCTGATCCGATTGATTGTTGAGCAGAATAATACTATATAAATGAGATTTTTAACAAGCATAATATTCTTTTATATGAATAGCTAAAAGAACAATATTTATTGAGGGTAATCAGTATATACGATAATAAGTCATAAACTTTTAATAACATCATGCATCAATTTCTTTCATAGATCATGGAGGAAAAATCTTTATAAAAGATTTGATAAATAAATAGAAACACTTCTGTTTTTTTTAAGGCATGTTTTTGACATAAAATGTTAATTGTGTATATATGCTACTGTAAGATTTCATTATTAAGCCGATTTGAAAGTATGATTCCATTCAAAAAAAAAGAAGTGTTTTGAGTCAATTTTCTCTCTTCATTATAAATATAAACTTTGGTTGCTAGTTCTTTTAAATTCAAACATTGCCCATGGTGCATTCATTCTTATAAATTTCACAACTGTTTGATTAACATTCAAACTTATACTCAAATTTTTTTTCTTTTCTACATATATATATATATATTTCTTTTTTTCATTACTTCTTGTTCTTTGTTGTGGCATCGTCTATTTTCTTTTGTTATAGGGAATGAAACTTTCTTTTTTTTTTTTTTTTTTTGAAAATTTTTTTTTCTCATTTTCTTCCGTTGTCGTTAAGTAAGAGAATAGAGAGAATACGGTCGATGTTTGCCACCGAACGGAGAGAAGTGGGCATCCGTTATTGTGATGATTGTGACATGCATATCACTGTTTGTGCATGTTAATCGTTGTTAGCAACAACAACACTGTAGCGCTTTTTATAATTTCTGGCCTTTATAGACATTTGCGTGTTTGTAGTCTCAACATAGTAGATAGAGATTAGATCGAACGATGATCGTTCAATCGACACCAGTCATATTGAAACAACGAAATCAAGTTAATCGAGAATGTCTTTATGCATGGTATCCAGAAGTTGTAACAGATACATCAACAACAACATCAATGGGACCACGCGATATTTATATTCATAAAGGAATCGACAAAGATCTTATACAACAAAATTCACCAACAAATGGATGTAAGATTAACACTGATTATTTTAACTAGGAACATATATGAATGTAGTCAAATGTAAAAAACAAATGGATCATTCATTTTTTTTTTATCATTATTTTTTTGTTTTTGGTGACTATTATGTTTTCATGCTTATTTTTCTAGTAATTAATGGTTATAATAATAACAATAGTAATAATGAACTTCTACAACGTTATGGACAAAGTATGGCACCAAGTGAACGTATCTATCACTCAGCAGAAACACTTGATGAAGCGTTAAGAACACCATGGGCATTACATTATGAAATACAACGAAGACCAGCAACACCAAATCCACCATCACATTCTACAGATAGTATGTAAAAATGCAAAATGTTCTTATTAGGTAGCTCTATAAATAGATGAAACAGATGTTTTATGTCAAGAACTTTTTCTTTTTTCGTCCTTTCTCTCAGTTTTTTTTTCAATATATAATAGCTAAAATGATGAACACACAGAAAATTATCGATTTGATATATTGATGATTTCTTGATAATATTTCTATTTACACAGCATGCTTATTTTTTCTTTTGGTAAATTTTTATACTAAATCAAAATCTTTTTTGCAAATATTTCATCATAAAAAAAAGCAATTCAAATAATTCAATATCATTGATCCTATTGTTATGTATAAAGATAAATTTTCGATGATTTTGAAGTATTTTATATAATTATGATTGTAGTGAAGCCATAAGAATCACAGAGGATTTGACATCTAAAGATAAGCCTTAAATTGAATATTTCACTAGATCGGAAATAAAAACTATTTTTATAGTTAATAGAAAAAAACAACGAATAGATATATAATTAAAGTTGAGAAAAACAACAAACGTCCATTTTATAATTGGCATTTCATTGAAATCACTCAAAACTTTATAAAAATCATCAACAATATTGATTCTATAGTTGTCTTTATGCATTATTTTTTATACACTTATCCAATAATTATTATGAAAAAAAAAAAATATATATATATATATATTTATCGATGTTTCATAATTTTCTTGCGCTTGATGAGTATCTATCAAATAAATAACTATGTTCTTTTGTTTTGTAGCTACGCGTAAAGAAATGCCACGTCGTCTGAAGAGTGCTCCAGTTGTTCGTTCATTTCCACTAACATCCGTTCTTGCAGTTCCTGAACCACGACTTATAACTCCTATTATTCCAGTGACAACAAATGAAATACCAAGATCACCATTACCAACAAGACCTAGAACTCGAGCTTCATCTGCTAAAGCACGTCTTAATACAACATTTCCTACATATAATGAACCAATAGAGGATAATATAAAACAACAACGTCGAGAAATTAAATCAGCTCAAGCAATTCGATCAAATGATGAAACAAAATTATCCGATGAAGAAAATCAAAAAGATTCTACTCAATTTTATTCTGACGTAATACAACAACAACAACAAGAACCACCATCGATTCCTTTAACACCAACTCCACCACCTACAAATGGTTATCAAAAACCTGTTAATTATTATCCTCCAAATGAACCACCACCAACACCTATTGATAAAAAACTTTTTCGTTCGAAAACGGACTTTATTTCTGTTCCTCCAAATTTACATTATATTCATCGTCCAGGTGTTATTTCAGTTACAAATATTGATAAACCACCTATTGTACGAGAAAATTCAGCATCTAGAAAATCCAATAAACATATTCGACGACATCACCGTCATCATCGTGAAAAACGACATGAACCATTACTTGCTCTAACACCAATGACACAATCAGTAAAAATACCTGTTGAAATTGATGGTATTAAATTAATATATGATCCATCATTAACATTAGATGATCCATCATTAAATTTAACAAAATATTTTATTGAAGGACGTTTATATTTAATCAAAGGTCAACATTATAATGTTTTAGAAAATATTGATCCAACAATGATTGAAAAATACAATCAAAATTTAACGTAAGTAAAATTTTCACAAATAAAAGATATATATGTGTATATATACATATTTCTCTTTCTTATCTAAGTCTTCCTCAACGTCCAAAATATTATCAAACAATACCTGTTGAAAAATTTCAAGTACCTAAACCACCACCAGAATTTCATTTTAATGCATCAGAAACATATTTTTATAATACATTACCAAAACGTTTACATCGTTATGTAGTTGATCCAAATTTTATTTCAGAAAATCTTAATGTTAATAAAATCTCTATGTCAAAACGACCTTTAACAGCAACTGTTGTTCATTCAACAATTAATGATATTAATCGACAACAAACAACTCCAACAACTGTTTATACTTGAAATATGAATCAAGAACTGATATATTATTTTTTTTCCTTTGTTTTACGCTTGGTGATCTTTTCTTTCTTTTTTTTCTCGTGCCATTTGTATAATACAAAAAAAAACTAATTAACTGTTTTCATTTCCATGATTATTATTGTTATATTGTTAAAAAGATGATTGCTGAAGACATACAATAGTTGGAAACAGAAGTAATAAAGTGAAGAGATTACTGACATCCGTTAAACATATCTTTCGTAAGATAATAATATTTAAAAGGACTTATATATAGATATTTAATTAAATACTTGTCTTAATGTCGTCTTCCTTCTCCTCTTCATCATCATGACAATGACAATAATGATGATAATGACGATGATGATGACAAAAATTATATTGATGATGAATGCACGAAGTTTTAGTTTATTACTATTTTATAATTTTTTCTTCACGTCATTCAATTTTTTATTCTATTTTTCTTTTATTTTTTCGAAATGAATAGAGAAAAGCTACCTAAAAATAGCATATACTTAAAACAAATCTGTCTGAATATATTCTATGAAAGAAGAATGAGACTAGATAATTGAACATAGAAATTGCTGATTCCTTTTGTCGGCGACAGTCGTCGTTAGTTGTCCTATTACGAGCATATGCGCGAAGCATCACTCAAAGCAAAAATTAAGAGTAGAAAAAGATAAAAAAGAACAAAAAGAATTAGACGAAAGAACAATAAAAACAGATGCCAACAATGTACTACTAGATCTATCAAAAAACAGAGAAGTGAGAAGTATTTATAAACGAAAAGTATGTGAACAAAAATTGATAATGTTGCTCTACTTCGTGTATCTACCTATTTATCAGAACTACTTAGAAACGTCTAATTCTTCATCATGAATAGAGATAAAAATATGAATTCTCTTGAACTCTTGAGTGTATTATTATTAGATATCTCATTGAATAGAAAGGATTTGCGCAAATTAATTTATATGTCCGTAATGCTCCTATCCATTTGTTTATTTATTAGTTAGTAAACAATTAAAAACGAGAAAAAAACCAGTATAGACAGATGTTTATATTACACAATCTAATATTCTTCTTTTGTTTAGTATTCCATCATCAAAGAAATCAACAACGATCAAGGTAAAGAAATAAAGTTTCACTGATTGTCCCATCATTTATCTTGTCTTCTGATAGATTACATAAACTCGTTTGAACTTCGCCTTACTAAAAACTCATATTAATAGATATAAGTTATTATATATAGTTGACTGAACAAGAATATGCGTACTATCATAGATCCATCTAAACATCTATTCAAATTATGATTCTTTTTTTTTTGTTCATTTTACCCTAGGGAAGAACACCATGCTCTTATTCTTCAATAGAAAACTGATCATTTTGTATTTTATTAGTAATTTCGAAAGCATGAAAATACAAAAAAAAAAAAAAGAATAGTAGGTTTCACTTTATATTGTATATAATTAAACTACCCAATTAGATAAAAAATAATGATATAGGTAGATTTGCTCACTTGAAGGCATACCATTAAGTATGCTTGTATATAATGTATATGCCTTCATTTAATTGAAGCTAAAGAAGAACACTAGTAAGAAAGATATATTTAAGAATACTTGTGGTGTATATTTGATTAAAAAAATAATCTTTATTTTGTTGTTCTCATTTATTTATAGATATTTACACATGTATAGGAAATACAATATGTTTCATTGTCATCATATGTCTTTCAAATTATATTGTAAGATTTCTATTTGCATGTTACTCGTATTAATAAGAACAAATAGAAAATAAGATACAAAATTTATGTTCAACTATTGTACAATGATTATTATCCATTGTTGATAAGTAAATAAATGAATAAATATTGTAAGATATTTCTTATTAGTTTTCAATAATTAACATAGGTTGATTAATTAAGAGCTGTATGAAACTTTTTGTCTTTTCCTTTTTTTCTTGAGAAAAATAACTGTCACTCGTTTAGTCAAGAGAAAAAAAAAAAGCTTTTTTTTTTCATAAATTAGACCATATTAGAAATCTGCCTGTGTTTCCTAAATATAGATTTTTAATATATATATATATGTATATTTATGTTTTTTTACAAATCATCATTATTCATTGCACGATATAAGAAAGAAAATTCAAATGTTATCCATTATTCAACTGAAAGTATCTTCATTTTTATATTTGCTCAACATTTTCTTTTTCTTTTTCTAGTCTACTTAAAAGATTACATATTAATAACAGTACACTTATCTATTTATCCTTGATAAATATTAGTATCAAAATGTTGTTGTGCGTTTCTATTCGCGCTAGAATAATTGTGTAAATGAAGGAAAAAATAGATTTATATCAACAGTAAATAGAGATAGAACAGGTTTTCTTTTTGACATATATATTATATATTTTCGATTATATTTTTATCAAAACTATTGACTATTTTTCTTTTTGTTTTAGATTAATATTAGATAATTTATTTTATTTTTATACAATACAAGAAACAAAAAAACAAAAAATATTCTTATAATTTAATAGTGTAAGTTTAAGTTAAAAATAAAAATATTTAATTGTTTGTTTTTGCTTAGTATTTTATCATCAGTGTCTTATCATAAAACAAAAAAAAAAGACAGGTCTTGACGATGTTGTCGTCTAATGATAGGATTCATATTGTTGACGGATGGATAGACAAGCATGAAACAGATTTCTATATCAAACATATCATTCTAGATTATCACAAGTTGATTTCTCTAACCTAATATTTTATGCAAGTAAAAATAGTAAATTACTGTATTTTATTCTCCATAGTATAGAGAAAACATTAGATTTAATATTATTTTATTCTTAGTGACAAAAATGAATAATATATGTATATATATATATTTAACGACGAGAAAATGAGATTGTGATAGAATATGCATATTTATCATCATAATAACATATATGGCTTTGAGGACAGATTGAGGTGAATCAGTTTTCTTTTGCTCGATTAAATGCTAAAGAAAACGTTTTGTTCTTTGTTCCTTCCTCAAAGGAAGTAGTTTAGACACTATAATCCTTCAATGAAATGTATTAAATGTTTTGATTTTCTTAGCTACAAGACATAATAAAGGCATAAGCAATAAAACACACCTAATTTCAGTTTTTAAAGTCATAAATTATCTTTATTAAAAAATAAATAAACTAACAAAAATAAGATATTAATAATAATGAGTTTGTTAAGGTAAGTAATCCTTTGTTTTTTAATGATTGCCATGTTTGAAAAAATAAATTTATAGAGTTTTGTATTCATATAAATATATATGTGTCTATTTGCTTTGCTTTTACGTTTTAGATCGATATTAACTTATCATTAGGTACTCGAACATAGTGTTAATTGAAGACTCATATAAATTTCGAGCGATGACGCATGTCAAGCTAGCCTATATAATATTTTCTAGAAAACAAATTATTACTCTACGTAGAGAGAAAAAAGAAAACTATTCTCAATTGAGTTATTTATCACTCTAATGATGATCAAGTAATTTTAAGAGAAATTTTCAATAGGCACTATGATGAGAATAGTAGAACTAATCTTTGTATAAAACACGAACATACGACCTACTACTCCCGGAAGAACGGTAAGTATGATGTGAGAACACTTTACTGACATATCATTCTCGTCGGATCTTTTTTTTTTCTTTTGACTCTTCATAATTATAAGCTGAATTGATCTCGCCTCTTCTGTTTATTAACATCGTCCAACCGTCTTCTAAATCAAATCATATAGATGAGGCGATAAATGATGTGCTCTCAGCTTTTTGTCTATTCTTTTCGATGCTAGAATAATAGTAGTTGGCATGCGAATGTGTCCGTCCATGCTTTGACAATAATCTATACACTTCATAGAGCAGAAGAGAAAGAAAGACAGAAGAATAGAGAATAGACGAGTACCAGAACTCATCATGATGCTATTTTATAAGTATCTGTTGATGGGTAAGAAAATGTCGTTCGAAGATGAATTTGCATGTTTTTTTTTCCTATGTTTTTCAGCTATGACATGCTATAGGCGAGTAAAATGAAATAGTTGGAACGTAAATACTATGAACATTTATTGTAGCGTAAGCAATAGAAGATCGGCTCATATATATCTTACAGCTAATTCGAGCACATCAGATTCGCTTTTAAGAATACAGGGAGAAAAAAAACAAGAAAGGAAAGAACGATCGAAATCCCAACAGACCTGCATGCATTCATCTATATAGTTACAAAATAACGAATAGAAAATAAAACTAGCAATGGAATTGTTTGAGTATAAAGACTGACTTTATTTACATATCTCCGAGGAAATGTAAGAACTTGAACGAACGGAAAAGAAATACATAAAAGAGAAACAACTAATTTTGATTAATTGTAGTCGAAGTCTCTTGAGTATCAAGTAAGTTTTGAACACATTCTTATTTCTTTTTGTTTCTAATACTAAAACAACAATGGTAAAAAAAATAAAAAATAAACGAAACCATGATCATCAATACTCGAACGTTTTTTTATTTATTTGTATTTTATATTAATAATATGGATTGTATATTATTTATTCGATATAAACTAATCATTCAAGCATAGCACATGTTTTATTTCTTTTTCTTTTGAGTTCTTCTGTGTTGTGTTATTCTTCTTCTATCAAAAACAAAAAAAAAAAGAAAGAAAACCTTGTATCAGAACGAGAGCCATTACATATGTCGCTCGACAGTTTTGTCACTTTTGTTTTGTCGTTTATTGATAGACGACCATATATTCAGACGTGCTAGCTAAAAAAATGATCGTGCGAATGTGTTTCTCTTGAGATTTATTTGAAGAAATAACTATGCAACACAGACATAGATTTCAGGGAGCTATAATCGATCGATCATCGTACGTGCAAGTCATTTGTTTTGTTTTTGATCTTGATTTGTATCGCCTTTTTGTTTTTTAAGATCGAGAAAAGAAAAAAAAAAGAATCATATGATGAGAAACTAAAATGATAATGATAA